ATCTACATCACTTTCTTCACATCCATCGCAGATTTCATCATCATCAATAAGAGCATTTGTACCTCTTAACTCTGCTACTGAAGAAGACGATGAGGAAGAAGAAGGTGAGTATTTTAATGCTGAGAATGTACAAAATATTTAAACGCTATTTTAACATTATATAACAGTAGGTATTCAACGCCGTTCACTTCCACGTCGAGCCACGAAAAATATTTTTTACAACAGGCCAAAAGAAACGCCAACCCGGAGGTCATCAACTCGACAGTCAAAAGAAGAATTTAAAGGACGAGATATTGTGTTTGTCGATCCATTAGATTTAAAAGCGAAATTTTGGTGGCCGGCAATGATAGTTCCAAATGACGAGATTGACGAAACAATGGATGTTGATGGCAAACTTGAAGTTCATTTACTCGCGCGCAAATTCCTTGTTAGGTATTTTGAAGACATGACTTATTCAGTAGTAGAAGCTAAAGGATTACGTCATTTTAGGATAGATGGGGAACCTTATCAATCATTTGTAAAAGTAGAAGGATTTTCTGTTCATATTGGAGTTCGGAGAGCACTGAAATGCATTCAAAAAGGAGAACCACTAAAAGCGTTCAGATGGGACTATTGGAAGCGACCAGCCTCACTCGAAAACGGTGAAAATAATTCGTCACAATCTTCTGTAAGGAGACATAAAGCTAGTGTACCTTCATCATCGAAAAGAATAGAGGTTCCAATAAATATGTTTGGTGAACATTCTACTACAACTTCAGAAGGGAACATACAAAATAAAGGTAGAACAACTAAAAGGAGCACGTTATCAAGCCGTCATGCGTCACAATTGACAGAGGAAAGTACATCCGGATCTCCAGCATCGGGAATGGATATAGATTCCGAAACTGTTAGTCCTACTAGGCGGAATTCATCTTTATCTAACGGTCGGAATTCACGGAGTAATGTTTCACGTAAGAATTCAATCGTAAAAAACTCCGACGAAGATGAATTACCGAACAAAAAAATACCGAAACGACGGCGTAGTACAGCTAGTGAAACATCTGATGGTAAGCGACGTCGTAATGTGGTAAGCGAGAATACGGATAAATATGAAGAGAAATCAGTTCGTAGTACTTCTAGTGATAAATCTGAAAGCAAACGTCGTTGTAGTGTTGGAAGTGATAAATCTGATAGATCTGACAGGTCTTACCAAGCAAGCAATAATTATCGAACAAATCGGACGCCAAGTCGGAAAAATAATCATAGTTCATCTGTGGCAGAATCAATGGACCAAGACGTTTCTACTACAGTTACATCACCAATTTCTCTTGGAGTCGAATCCACAGTTGTTGATGAACCATCGGAGATCACAGAAGTCATACCTTCAGTAAATAGCCCAATTGAGCAGTCCGAAGAGCCAATAGAAATTATGGAAGAGGAATCATCATTTAAATTAAACAAACAAGAAGAACTTTCAATATCTGAATTAAGTGATGAAGCGAAAGATAATATTGCACGATTTAATTTTGATAACCCGACACTAGATAAAGAATCAAAAGCGAACCTGTTTATAGAAGGTATAAAAGAACTGAAAGAACTCTGGCGAGACTATCGAGAATCGAAACGGCAAATGAAAAAGATTGAAACTGAATTACGTCTTAAAAAATTAGCAGAGTTAAGAGGTACAAATGCTCTTATTGATGATGATGAAATCTGCGATGGATGTGAAGAAAGTGATGTAGAT